AAAGCACACGTTACAAAGTGCAATTTGAAAACATCAGAAGCACTAAGAGTTTTATCAAAGAGCATGGAATGGCTCTCTTTTCAGTTAAGCTTTGCAGTGCTGAATCTCAGAGGTCGATGAAACAGACGTGGGAAGAAATGCGGAACTGCCAGACCAGCGCACTGGATCTGTGCTGTATGTACAGAGACGCGACAGACTCGATTAATTTGAAAAAAAAAAAAAAAATCTTGCTCCGCTAGATGAAAAATGTAGAAAGTATTTTGTCACTTTGCTATTTGAATAAAACAAGTTTTCAATCCTGCTTTTGCTGCTGCTTAACGCACTTACGATGCCCTTACAGTGACGAAGAAGGGCACGACGAGGTGGGGACTGTTTTGGATAACTTTTGCACTCTGGACTTTTGCTGATCCTATGTTTGGAGGAAGTTTTTTTCAACCAGCTTTTCCCAAGAGGATGAATATCAAAATGCCAAAGTGGCATCGCTGCTCGCATAAAAATAATTCACCCTCTCTCCTCTCCTCTATCTTCACATTTTACTTCTCTTATTCTCACCTCTTTTTTTCTATTGTCGAATCTTATGCAGACTGATAAATGCTCATCACCCGCGCGGTGGGAAGAAGGCTGTACTGACGATTCCCATTTCTACTCGCGTGCTCGTTCAGTCTGCTTTTATACAGCTAAGGGATGAAACACAGATTGCATCCAGAAAATTTTGCGTGCACATGGCATTTAAACTGACCCCCTATCTCCTGTTTTATTATTTCAGTCTCTGGAAAGCCGGAAGCATACAGAAGCTGTTTGTTGATAAAACGCGCTTGTGAAACTAATAAATCGTTGGTGATGCGCTTACGGCTTTATTTTCTAGGCAAAAGAAGAAGCGAATCGTTGTAGGCCTAGACTGTAAGATTTCTGTAGCGTAGAGCCTCTTTTCCTGCTATTGTAACTAAAACGATTATTGAGTTTTCAATAAGCAAAGAAGCAATACTGGCATCTTCCGAGCAAATTGGTACTGGTGATTCAATAAGCACGAATAACGATTAGCGTTAAAAAAAAACCCAAAAAATGGAAAATTCTTTCCAATTTTGGAAAATGTGAAAATCAAACATTCTGAGCATCATTTGCGAGACATACCTATGAACCAATGTCGCGGTGAATAGGAAACCTTCAGGCAAACTGGTCAATCAGCCACTTCTACTGATGCCTCAATAAAATGCTGTTAATTTGCATAATTTCGCCTAATCAGTGTGACAACTTTCTAGCAAAACTCGCATCATCTACACGCAATTTCGTGCATTTTCACTGATTACTTGAAACTTTTGCAGCTTTGAGAGGGGATTAAAAAAGAAAGTCGTCTTCTCATCTTAACAAATAGAACCATATATTCGCGTGCGTTTTTGCAGATTTTTATAGTCGAAGAATGGAATGCGCCAAAGTTCAGCTACAGGCCATATTTTTACACTGGGTACTGATGAGCAGGATTCCTGTCTTGGTACGTTTTGGAAGTATTTCATCATGGTAATAACAGCAGTAACGATAATAATAATAAAAATAATAACAACAGTAACGGCATAAATAAAAAGAATGAAACACAACGTATTTACAAAGCAGGTTACTGAATGGCACTTAAATAACTTTGAAAAACACTGGGAAAGCTATTCAGACGAAAATCCTGCTTGAGCGTAAAAAGAATGCCATTTGAGAATTTTCAGCGGCCTGTTTTTTGGAGCATTTTTTTCAATTTAATTTCAGTGAAAGCAGATTGCCATTATTAGGCAAGTGAGCAAATGAAACTGACCGGAAAATTAACAGAACCGGCAAAAAAGCCGGACGGGCAAATGGCGAATCAACCTGACATTTACATTGACCACAAAATGATCCATAAATGAACCATGCAGGCAAATGAACCAAAAATGAATGAAGGGGAAATAACCACGGAAAAAACAGACAACCAGACTGAGAAACCTTATGAGCTGGTAGCTACAACAGGAGTTTCTTTGAATTTTATTGGAAATAACAGATTTTGGCAACTCTTTTATCATAAAAAAGTAAACAACCATTCGGGTGGGCTAATGG